GCTGTCCTGAACTCACTCTGTAGACCAGGATGGTCTTGAACTCACAGAGATCCACCTAACCTCTGCTTCCTGAGTGCTGGGATTAAAGGTGTGCCACCACTGCCTGGCCTTTAGAATCTGCATTTTGAAGAAGTTCTGAGTGTTGCTGCTGTCGCTGGCCCAGAAAAGCCCACTTTTAGAACCACTGCCCTATGGTTATAAAATACTTCATAGCAGGGCTGGAGAAATGACGGCTCAGTGGTTAAGAGCACTGATTGTTTTTCCAAAGGACCTGGGTTCAATTCCCAGCATCCACATGGAGACCAGTTCCAGGGGATCTGATATGATACCTTCACACCAATGCACATAAAAAAAATTAAATAAATTATTTAAAAATATTTGCATAGCATTCCTGGAGCCCTGACTTCAATCACCTCTATGGAAACAAAATGAATAAAAGACACAGAGAAACCCTCTCTTGGAAAACCAAAAGAATGAATGAATTTCACGGTTCTAAAGCAGGTTTTCTTTTTTTTTTTAAATATTTTTTATGGTTTATTTAACTTTATTTTATGTGCATTGGTGTGAAGGTGTCAGATCCCCAGCAACTGGATCTTCAGACAGTTGTGAATGTGCCATGTGGGTGCTGGGAATTGAACCCGGGTCCTCTGCAAGAGCAGTCAGTGTTCTTAACCACTGCGCCATCTCTCCAGCCCAGCAGGTTTTCTCAACAGCATCATGAATGACTTTCTGGAGTAGCAAATTCTCTGTGTAGCCTTGGTCTCTGCCAGACACCCACAGGGATCTTCAAGTATCATCAAATGTCCCTTGAGGAACAAAACTGACCCAAGTTAAAGAATGACACAAGAGTCCAGGTGAGCTCCAGAGTGGAATGAGAAAATACCTGAAGCGTAGAGTCTGGTCCAGCCCAGGGCTCAATACAGAGGGTACGAGTTCTCTCAGGATGCCGTCAGAGAAGGGTCACATGTGTGAGGTAGGCAGAGACAGCGGACGAGAACACGGGGCTTTACTTGGTCCCACAGAAAGAGGGACTGGTACACTTTGGCCTGGGATGTTAGCTGTCCTGGGATGTTTAGGTTCTTGGTGCGAGGGATCAAACCCAGCAAACCCATCCAAAATTCGCTGGAAGAAACAGTCCTGTCAAACCAAGTTTTCGACAGAGTTCCCCTAAGGCTCAAATTCTCACAGTCCACATGGCTCAGGAATTCTTACCTTCACCTCCCCACCTCCACTCCTTTTGTGAAGAAGAAGCAGACTCTGGGCCTATTGGTAAGCAAATACTGTTTTGGGTTTCTTGGTTTTTCAGTTTTTTGAGACAGAGTTTCTCTGTAGCCCTCCCCATCCTAGAACTTACTCCATAGACCAGGCTGGCCTTGAAATCACTTAGCTCTGCCTACTTCTGCCCCCAAGTGTAGGGATTAAATGTGTGCCTCACCACCACGTGGCCTGTAAACACTGTGTTTTGATGTGAAGAAACAACTGACAGCTGGCTCTGGGTAAGTCAGCTCTGCCTGTCATCTGACTACACAGGACAAAGGATGACTGGGTCTCCCTCTTTGGGGACTCATCCCTGACTGAGGTCCCTGACATCACAGGGGATTCTCTTCTCTCCCCTGAAAGGGCCAACTGTCTCTGCAACCAGGGGAACTAGGGAAGGAAGACAGAGGCAACCTGTGCTCTCATGAGCTCTTTGTAAACCAGCTGTGGGGGCACTGGGGACAGACAGTACTGGGGCCATGGGCTAGAAGAAATAATGTGCTGGTGTTTGTGTGTGTGTAGAAAAAATGACTTGAAAACACGCCTCCCTCACAATTCAGCTCACAAAAAGCCACCCAGTGAAAAATAAGTTTGGCTTTAAGTGCCCGCAGTATTAAGTGCCCGAGACTGAAGTCATAAAGGGAAATTAACTGAAAGCCAGAGATGCCATTACTCATTCGGGAGCAATCTATCTCTCCCAAAGTGAGGAGACAATTTTCACCCCCTGGAGATGTTTTATGCTTAAATCTTTATTCCCAGGCTAGGGCTTCTGTTCTCTCAATCTTAAGTGGTAGGGCCATTTCCTGCTAATGACTCCTACTCCGCCCTGCAAGAACTAGGAAGGACTGAAGGGGCTGAAGGAAACACCCTCAGCCTCTGAGCCCTTCCACCCTTCAGCCACTACCAACTCTTCAAGGGACTGGGAGGCCTTTGGGAGTGCAGAGCCAGAGCCTGGTGACAGCTCCATGGGGAAAGGCCTTGCTAAGCCGGACAATTGGAGCTCAACCCAAGGGATCCACATGGCCAGAGAGAGCCAACTCCAGGTTACTCTCTGACCTCCACATGTGCACCGTGGCAGGTGTCCACCCCGACACACATAAAGGGGCTTACTGGTGTGAGTCTGGTGACCCATGGAAAGGTGACTGGAATCAACTCCACTAACCTGTGCCCTTCACACGTGACATGGCACAGGTCCCCATACATACACACCATGCTTATAAACACACAGTGAGGTGAGGAGGAGGGGCTGGACTGAGGCATGCGGATCTGGTGTTAATAAGGGTTAAAGAGGGCCGGAGGATGGCACTGTAGCTAAGAGCATTTGCAGTCTTTGAGTTCAGATCCTAGCACCCACACCAGGTCCCTCACAACTGCCTGTACCTACAGCTCTCCAGGATCCGATGCCCTCCTCTGGCCTTTGTGGATACTGCATGCACTTGATGCACATACAGATAAACAGACATACACATAGACTAAAAATTAAAGGCCTGGAGAGATGGCTCAGAGGTTAAGAGCACTGCCTGCTCTTCCAGAGGACCTGAGTTCAATTCCCAACAACCACGTGGTGGCTCACAACCATCTGTAAAGAGATCTGGTGCCCTCTTCTGGTCTGCAGGTACACACGCAGGCAGAACACTGTACACAAGAAATAATTTTTTTTTTTTAAAAATCACATGTAAAAAGGAGTGTTAATAAACTAGTTGTAGGCTGGAGAGATGGCTCAGTGGTTATGAGCTGGCTGCTCTTCCAGAGGACCCAGGTTCAATCCTGGATTCCACATGGCAGCTCACACCTATCCACAGCACCAGTTCCAGGGGATCCAACTCCTTCGCGCAAACATACACGCAAGCAAAACACTGGTGCACGTAAAATAAAGACAAATTTGAAAAAAAGCTACTTGTGATTTCTGAGGAATGAAGATCAGGCTGAAGACATGCAGGACCACGTTTTTCCTGAAGAAGGTCATCATAGCCATATAGGTAATTAACTAGTGCTCAGCCAGATGACACCCACCCTGCATAGTGAGTTCCTTTCTTCCACTTTGTTACTGTTTTGAGGCAGGGTTTCCCGTGTCTGTCACGCTGTGTGGGTTCAGGACAGCTGGCCTGTGAGCGCCTGGACAATTCCCATCTCCAGCTTTCATCTCGGTGCAGCAGTGTTTGGGATTATAAATGAGCCCCACTGCATCTGGATTTTTATTCCATTTCTAGCACCTGAACTCAGGCTGGCCTCCAACCAGCTATGTAGTAGAGGAGTCCTGTCTCTGGATTCCAAGGGCTGGGATTTAGTTGCATGCCCTGTCTGTCCTGATAGCACAGTACACAGTACTCTGTATGGTAAAGGCTCAAGTAATGAAACCAGGTTCATGTTGTTTACCCCCCTCCCCTCATCTTTCCCAAATATATCAGACAAGGGTAATCTTTAAACTTAGAGTATGTGAAGTCTGTGAAACACACCTCAGGAAACTTCACTCTACAGGTTCAAGTACCTGAAGTTTCCACCCTATGGGATTTGGCTGCTTCGGTTTGTCCCTGTCTCCAAGCACACTTTTCTGGCTCATGAGACACCCCCACCCCCTCAGGTTTGCATCTGGTTTTAGACAGCCCTCCTCCTTTGCTGTCCATATCCAAGCATAACCACAGCATCCAGGATGCCTCTTTGTTCTCTCACAGGCTCGATAAATCGCTTCCTCCTGTGTTTCCAGTGTGCTTTACTCAAACTTCATTCACTGTATTAAAAGTAATTGCTCTGGGAGCTTTACTATCCTGCTGGCTTCTTCATTAATAAGTTAAATAAATCTCTGGCATGTGCTCAGTTAAAAAAAAAAGTAGTTTATTTCCAACAATATTTTCTACTGGTTTATGCACTTCTCATGATGGCAAGGACAAGATCTTTCCCGTCTCTGTCCTCAGCAATGATGACTTTGCCTGTCACATAACAGGGCTTGGTGGTGTTGAATGACTATATTCTAAACCCACGGCAGCATCCTCTTTGACTTATGAGAAATATGATTTAAGTTCATGAGCCCAAAGTCTAAAGCCAAACATGCCCAGAATTATTGAAGATAAGAAGACTTTTGCTTTGAGATAGAAGGTTAAAAAAAATATACGTTCTACTTCCTTGGAGCAGATGGATTCATTAGTGCCAGTCTGTGTGTTGGACATGGTCAACCAGAGACCCAAGGGAGGGAGGAACCTGTCTTAGTAGAAGGCACATGACAGCATTTCTCAACATCCCTGTCAGATCAGGAAAGTCAGACAAGTAAACAGGATCATAAAAAGCCTCAGAAAATGCCATGGTCAAAGCCTAGGAAAACACCCATCTCCCACTTGGGCGGCTCAGGAAGCTGCATTCCGGCCAAGGGCCCCGGCTGGGGCTGCTACAGCTCAGCTCTGGTTCCCCAGGAGTCCCGAGCACAGGACTGCTGCTAAGGAAAGTGCTTTGGACAGGAGGCAGGGCAGACAGAACCAGAGCCAGGCCCTTCTGGGCCTCATTCATCACCTTCTGGATGCTCTGCTTGCAATTATAGGAAAGTATCTGCTGCTGATAATTACACCTTGTCATTTTCACAACAGTGAGGAAACCTACAACAGAAGCGGGGGTGGGGGGACACTCCAAGTAAACAGAGTCTCTAAAGAGCAGATGGATTGTATCTACCGGACATATACATATACTTCCTCTGACTTACAGCAATCAAGCCCCAGAGAAAAAACAGCAGGAAATAAGAAATCTAAGACACAAGGTTCTTGTAAAAAGGTTATCTGTTTGGATTTTTAATACAAAATGACTCAAACAAGAAAGAAAAATATCATACAAGCCAGTTACTCAATTTAAAATAAACAGAGAACAAATTCAACAATTTTCAACTGACATTCCTTGTCTCCAGCATAGGTTAAAAAACAGGAGACCTCAAACCAATGTTTGTCCCTCTGAAGAAATCTTATTGTTATTATTTTTTTTTTTAAAAAGAAACCAATCCCTGAAATGTGGCAGGTGGTACCAGAGGCCACAGCTGTTCTGTAAATGGGGTACAAGTGGTTGCTGGAGTACGGCCATCACCTCCAGCTGCTTGCTAGTGATGGTCATCTGAAGGCAGGTCAGCTTGGACACCATATGACTCTGGCCATAATGTAGCATGAGCCTCAGGTCACGCAGCCGGGTGACCTTCCCACATCTTCACTGAATCTCACCCATATACAGCCTCTTGTCACTGGATGCTGAGAGGACTGAGGGAAAAAGAACAAGACAGGAGACAGTGAAGGCTTGGGAACCCTTGGAGCTCAAGGGCCCTGTGTCAAGAGACAACTGTGACATGTAAGAGCAATTGGATTTAGCCTGAATTCTCCTAAACACTACACACAGGAAATTGCAGCCTGGCTTTTCAATCCAAGCCGCCTTGGAACTCCAAGGACGGCTATGCCATGGGAACCTCATGCTCTTCTAAGTCAGACCCAAGGAAAGGATCTTCCTTGTCTATGTCTGTGGAGTCAGACACACACAGGTGCAGGTGTGTATGCATGTTTTGGGGCTTGGGCTTTCTCAGACAAGGTTCCGTAGACAGTCTCTTTATCCACTGGGCTGACCTAGAGCTTGTGATGTAGAGTAACTAGCCTCAAACCTCTAGGAATCCTCCTGCTTCTACCCACCCAGGGGTGGGATTACAAGTGTCCACCCACTCAGTCAATATGCTTCTGCTTGTTTTTTTTTCACACACACACACACCTGGAGAAAGGTAACTTGTTTTTTCTTTAAATTTAAAGCCTATTACTCAGCTTAACTAAATTTATTATAATTTTAATCTAAATATTCACAAGTCATTCTTGTCTACAGTCCCTGCCACTCCAAGAGAGTAAATTATGGAGAGAACCTGAACTGAGAATTGTCAAAAGAACCCAGTCTTTTAGTCAGCCTTCTCTGAGGTGAAGAACAGATGTCACCCACCATCTAGGGCTGCAATTCCAAGATAGGCCTATAGATGGCAGCAATCCCCCTCAAGATGTCCGTGTTCCTTCTAGGCTTTTCTGTTAGCACCCCACTTAAATGAAGAGTAAACTTTTCTGAAATAAATACTGCTACTACTTCATACTGACTCTCCCTGAAATCCCTTCCTGTGGTTTATGTGGTGGGTTCCTCTGAAGAGCACAGTATTTGGGAGGCTGAGGTAGGAAGATTCCCTCAAGGGTGAGATCAGCAGGGGATACACAATGAACAACAGCCAAGCCAAGCCTACACAGTAAGATCTTAGCTGGAGAAAACAGACTTTTAGTTTTGCCTGGCAGTGGTGGAGAACACCTTTAATCCCAGCCCTTGGAAGGCAGAGGCAGGCAGATTTCTGAGTTCAAGGCCAGCCTGGTCTACAGAGTTCCAGGATAGTCAGGGCTACACAGAGAAAACTGTTTGGAGGCGGGGTGTGTGTGTGTGCGTGCGCGTGTTTCCAATTTCATCCGAATATTAGTGTACTAAGAAAATCCTAGGTTGCTTTAGCACTGGCATCTCCCTTTATGCTGACAACTGCCTTCTCTTTCGGCTAACCCCTCCCCCAAACAAAAACACCAAACCAAACCAAAATAACAAAATAAAAAACAACTCCCCACAACAAACAAACAAACAAACAAAAAAACCCCAAACCCCTGAAAACCCCCACACCAAAATACCTCAAAACCCAAATTAGCACTAGATTCACACTATAGCCCTGCCTGCCTCTGTCCCTCAAGTCCCAGGGAGAGGCTGCTTTCTCCTCTGGAGCAGTCAGCGCAGATGTGGACTTACTGATAGGCTCATCGGGATGGAACGCCACTTCATTGATGGAGCCAGCATGGCCAGGCAGCTTATACAGGATCCTCCTGCTCGTGGTGTCCCACACGTACACAAACCTGCAAGAGGCCATAACGACAAGTGCAGATCCCTTAGAAGACGGGCAGGACACTGGGTCTTGAAGTGAAATGGGAATGTTTGTTTATTGAACTATACTCTGGGTTTTAGAAACTAGAACTGTACCAAGTAAATACAGAGTATCTGGGGGCTTAAAACCAACCAAATCCTGAAATTATAGAAACACAAACATATCCATGTTACTTGTACAGCTTGCTCGTAATAGGCTGCAAACGCGGTGTGAGAGGAAAGGCACAAACCTAGGCATACTCTCACTAAGACCCATACAAGCTAGGCACGGTATGTATACCTGCAACCCAGCCATGGGAATAGGGAGGCCAGCCCAGGATATGTTGTGAGATGTTCCAGACCCTCTACCTGTTGGGGACTGCAGACCACCAGGCCCTGAATTCCCTGTAAACAACTTGTTTTCCTCTGCTCTGAGCAGCCTGCAGCTGCTCTGAGTACGAGACCCTGATGGCAGGGGAGTGGGTTCTGATGAGTCTGCAGCTGAAAGATCTCGAGAGCTGGGGCGTGGCCAGAGCCCTATCTATATAAGCTGCCCCTGAGTACAATAAAGTGGGTTTTTTTCCCCCCCGAGACAGGGTTTCTCTGTAGCTTTGGAGCCTGGCCTGGAACTAGCTCTTACAGACCAGAGATCTGCCTGTCTCTGCCTCTCGAGTGCTGGGATTAAAGGCATGTGCCATCACCGCTGAGCTAAAGTAGGCAATCTTGTATCAAGGATGAACCGTGTCCCCACGTCTCTGTCTGTCTGTGTGCATGTGTTTTTAAGTCTCCAACCTGGTTCCCAGTTCGCGTACCATCCCGTAGTGCAGACACTACATCTACCCTCTAAGCAAACAAACAAGGCTTATTAATTACACCTCACAGCCTCATAATCTAGGCTCCAGTGCAAATGAGTAAAGCTCCTGAGTAGTTGGGCATATTGGCGTACACCTATAGACCCAGTGCTTGGAAGGAGCAAATTGGAAGACAAGGAATTCAAAGCCATCCTTGGCTATAGCAAATTTGAGACAAGAGGCAGAACCCTACCCTTCTCTGCCTCTTAGCCCGTGCTCAAGCCCTCTTTCCTGTCATGCACAAATCACTGTCCCTCATGCCCACCAAGGGCAGAGTGGAAGGCTGCCAGCACTGGAATCAGAGAAGCCGGGATGAGCTCCAGGGCAGATTCACTAGCTAGGTAATCAGACAACGGTGAATGGGGGATCTCTGTCAACCAGTTAACTTTAGGAGGAGGGACCAAGTTAGGGTGTGGCTTTCTGGGACCCAGAGGAAAAGGGAATGCCCCAGGTACGCCCTCTCTGTGTGGTTCCCTCACAGCATAGCTGAGCTTGGATTTCTCGTTCCTGTTTCATGAGTTTGCCCCTTACAATAAATAAATATATAATTGTTTTATCTTTTAGTTAGCCTGTTTATTTCTCGAACCAAGATAATTCAACACAACTGCTTCCTTCTGTTATAGTGATGGAGAAAAAGTGAATTTATAGTTTATTGAGAAAAATAAGAATATATGCAAAGTGTCTGGCACACAGAACTAATGATTGCTGTTGTTATTATGTGTACACGTATTATAAAGCTAGAGTCACATGAAATCAGCAGCCTGGCTAGTGTCTGAACAGGGCAGTGGAGGGTTAAGTGCACAAAAGGAAGTGATCTATCTGTAGGCAGAAAGGGGAAATCTGCCAAAGCCAGACTCGGCAGGAAAGCGGGTTTCTGAGGTGGATATTATCTCTCAAGTACACAGAAGTCGGCAGAAGCCTGGATCTCCAAGGGTTTACTTTAAGGCCTCACTCTTCATGGATGCCAATTACATGCTAAATTTAGAGAGTTCCTTGTCCTCTCCACATTTGGGCATGTCAACATTTGGTACAAACCAGGTTACTTATGTAATAGAATTGCTTGCTTACTTCAGGCTAACCGATGAGGTGGACTGTGAAATCCTGCCCAGCCCAACAGAGGGGATAGGCCTTCCTTCTGACCAAGCCACACATCCTCATGTAAGGAATGGTGAGAAAGAAGAGGAATGAGAGGACACTGTAAAATGAAAAATGTGTGTTGGGCATTGTGGCTCATCATCCCTTTAATCCTAGCATTTGGGAGGCTGAGATGGAGGCGGAGGCAGAGGCAGAGGCAGAGGCAGGTGACTCTCTCTGAGTTCCAGGCCAGCCTGGTCTACAAAGAGACAGCCAGAGCTACACAGAGAAACCATGTCTTGAAAAACAAAACAAAGACACAATTAGGGGCTGGAGAGATGTGGGTCAGTGGCTAGGAACACAGGCTGCTCTTCTAGAGGACTAGGGTTTGATTCTTAGCACCCAGATGGTGGCTTACAACCATCTCTAATTCCAGATTCAGGGAATCCAACATCCTCTTCTGGTTTCTACAGGCACCCATCATATCAGTGGTCCACAGACAATCATGAAGGCAAGACACCCATACAGGGAGATATGGCTAGATAAATGCTTTAAAAATCTTTCAAAAAAGATAAATAAATCTAAAACAATTTAAAATGATACAATTACAAGGGGAAACATACCATCTCTACAGAAAATGATATAAAAATACTAAGAACGCTTTCCACTCTGTGAGGATGCAAACTTCTTGTACTTTTGTTTTAAAAAGACAGAGTCTCACTATACACTCCAGGATGGTCTCAAATTCTGACCCTGGATTAGTTTCCTGAGTGCTGGGTTACAGGCAAGCACCACGCAAGGCTCCTTGGACTATTTCCTAAGTTTCTGTGTCTTTTTTTTTTTTTAATGTGCCCTAGGCATGAAACAGCTTTGGCCACCGAGTCAGGCATCAGCTAGGATGAACAAAGGGCTCCACTGCTCTGCCCCCAGCTGATGTAAGAACACCGCCACCAGGGAGATGTCTCTGCCCATTGCCAGGGGGTAGGGTTAAGTTTTCTTTATCTTAATAGAAAATCTCTTGGATTCTTTAGGGTAGCTTTTTAAACCTCTGAGACTCAAACCATTAACATAGCACTCTTTCCCTTAGCTATCCACTTGCCCCAAACACCCTGAATACTTGTCCAGTTTTCCTGACATTAAACTTTTTCAGGAGAAAAAAGGACTTAAAAATTTCCAAGCATGGCCGGGCAGTGGTGGCACACGCCTTTAATACCAGCAATCAGGAGACAGAGGCAGGTAAATCTCTTTCGAGGCTAGCCTGGTCTACAGAGTGGGTTCCAAGAGAGATCACATTCTGAAAAAACAAAACCAAAAAATTTTCAAGCATATCTCCATAGGGAATCCTTAACTGTGCTGAAAGCTATGAGCTAGGGAAGAACCCTGCTTACGTGCCTCTACCATGGAGTTTCCAGGAGTCTCCACAAGCCCATTGTCCTTGGCCCTCAGATTCCCTATTCCACCTGATTTCCTCCCAAGTACATATCACCAGAGACACTAAAAACAACAGCATCCGATGGTGAATTCTCTCCCTTCTCTCCCTCATTCACAATATAAGGCCCTGAACCAGTTTAAATTCACATAAGAAAGCCCTGCTTGGGGCTGGAGAGATGGCTCAGCAGTTAAGAGCATTGCTTGCTCTTCCAAAGGTCCTGAGTTCAATTCCCAGCAACCACATGGTGGTTCAAAACCATCTGAAATGAGGTCTGGTGCCCTCTTCTGGCCTTCAGGCACACATGTAGACAGAATATTGTATACATAATAAATAAATAAATATTTAAAAAAAAAAAAAGAAAGCCCTGCTTATTAATTTGGCGGAAACATCCAGCTCATTTCGCTTAGCAATGCTGGCCCTTTCCACCGAGCCCAGATCTGGCTCTAAATCATCGTCCACACTGGCAGCTATGACCAATTGCTGGGCTGACACAAAGGCGTGTGGCCAGAGCACAGCATAAGCTGCCCCTGAGCGCAAATAAAGTTGGCATTCTTGTATCAAGGATGACCATGTCTCTCTCTGTCTGTCTGTGTGTGTGTTTTTAAATCTCCAGGCCCAATTCCCAGCTTGCGTACTGACCTGTAGTAGCACGGGCGCTACAGGCGTAGTATTGGAGAGAGTAGAGCGGTCGCTGTGCTTCACAGGGCGTCCCTTAGTCACATGGGTAAGGACGCCTGTTGTCTTCACATCCACACATTAAATGTGAGACCCGAACAGCCACGTCATTCTCTACCTTACACCAGGAGCCCTTACCTGTCCGCTGAGCCTGCGGCTATCTTGCTTCCATCAGGTGACCAAGAACACCGCAGGAGGTTCTGTAAGGAGCAGGGATGTACAAGACAGTTAATAAGCCAAACTCCCCTTGCTATACTAGGAGTCAACTGACTTTCAATTTTCTACTAGGCTTTGAGTGTCTCCCCAGAACGAGTATCAGCTAATATATTCCTGCTCAGAACAGCATGCTTTGTAATTTTACTCATTCTTCGTTAAATACTTATCTCACTATTCTATGTGTATTATTTAGGTGTTTGGTCTGGAGGTGCGCCTGAGGTATGCCTGGTCACTGAAGAAGCCAGAAGAGGGCATCACATCTCCTGGGACTGGAGTTACAGACAACTGTGAGCTGCCAGGCGGTTGCTGGGAGTCAAGTCCTGGTCCTCTGCAAGAGTAGCCAGTGCTCTAAATGTTGAGTCAATTCTCCAGCCTGCTTTGTAATTTTATACCACACAAGAAACTAGACGCAGAAATGCTTAACCTACAGTTATTAAAAACAAAACTGGCAACAAAAATTTGTTCTGTCTTTAAACAAAGGCACCACTTATCTTGATCCTCATTCAAACGCTTTAAAATTTTATCTTGTTTTTTTAAAAAATTCTTTTGCTTTATCTTGAAAAAAAAAAAACCCAAACCCAACAAAAATAAGATTTGATTTATAGGGTAAAACAATCTGTGAACTCACAAAAGAAAATCATTAATCTCTTAAAGAAACTCAATCATAAAAAAAAAAAAGCAGCTTCCAAAAGAGCTGATCAGGTACTTGAGGATTTGAGAAAAATTCTCTTGGACTCAGGCCATCGTGATTACAAGGGGAATGGGTATGGACCCACGGCTCCAACAGCAGGTATCTGGGAACAGCAATGGGAGTCGGGGTCCACAGACACTGAAGTCACAAATCCTACGAATGAGGACAGGCCCAGTGCGATCCCTCCCTGCGGCTGCCTTCTCCAACACACTGCATCAGAGCCGCCTCTGGTGAGAAAGACTCTGAGGCAGACGCGGAGCCTGCTCCTGGAAGAGCACACGGACGCTGAGGCAGGAGAGAGGGCGGCTTCCATGATGATGGCTACCAGACTTCACTCATCCTCAGAGCGCCAACAACTCTTTACCCTTAGCATCACCCACGATAATGTTTCCTCAGAGCAAATGGACAGGTACCACTCACCTTCTCAAAGTTGTGCACATTTCCTTGAAATATCTTCACACATCTTTCTTTGGGAGCAAAGGGCCGGACATCCCAGACACGCACTACAAAGCAAATCCAAGCCAATCAAGCAACAAACATAACTACAAGCCAGCAGCTTCCATGTCAGTAACAAATACTGTCTCCTGGTTAAGGAGGTCCAACATGACACAATACTATTTGCTTAAGCTCTTTTTGACTTCTTCTTCCTTTTTTTTTTTTTTTTTTGAGACAGGATTTTTCTGTTTAACAGCCCTGACTGTTTGGCAACTCACTCTGTAGACCAGGCTGGCTTCGAACTCACTGAGATCCACCTGCCTCTACCTCCCAAGTGCTAGGATTAAAGGTGTGTGCCACCCCACCCGAAAGATAAGGCTCTTTCATTCTTCCAGTGGGAATAAAGTGCATGAAAGCTGGGATCACCAATAATCATCCTCCTCATTAAGCTAAGGGCACAGAGAATGGAGAGCCAAGGACATAGGAACTGCAACAATATCGTTAAATCTTTCTGTGTTTGTCTGCCTTACACACACATACACACACCCCACACGCAGTTTTAGGGGGAGAGTGAGGCAGATCATAAAACATACAAAAATCACAAAACATTTTCCAAATGATTCCTCTGCCAATTCAGAATCACATTCAGCAAAGTCTCAATATGATAACAATTTTTTTAATTAAAAAAAAATATTTTGGTGCTTGAGAGATGGCTTAGCGGTTAAAAGCACATGTTCTTGCAGAGGACCTGGGTTCAGTTCCCAGAACCCACATGGTGATTCATAACCAACCACTTGTAACCCCAGTTCCAGGAGAGCCAATGCCTCTCTGACCTCTGAGGGCACCAGCATGACAGTGCATATACATACACATAGGCAAAACATTCATATACATTAAATAAACTATTTGCTTTCTTTCTTTTCTTTTCTTTCTTTCTTTTTTTTTTTTTTTGAGACAGGGTCTCATTTTATAGCCCTCCTAGGCCTGGAACTCTCTATGTAGATTAATCAGGCTGATATTGAACGCCCAGAGATCACCCTGTCTCTGCTTCCCAAGTGCTGGGATTAAAAATATGAACCACCATGCTCAGTTTTTACCTTATTTTTTGAAACAGGGTTCACTGAGCCTAGCACTCACCGATTGGCCAGTGAGCTCCAGTGCTACGGTCACAGATGTCTGGATTTTACATATGTCCTTTATTAACTGAGCCATCTCCTCACTCTTAAGAATCTAAACACCACTGACTGCTGTGATGCACATCTGCAAATACTCAACCTTTCCTTCAACTTGACGGGCACTCTGACAGACTAAACTTGAATAATATAGCAAGAAACCACCACAATGAGAATCAGGACACATGAACACTATCCTTATGATACCCACATGTCCCCGTCTCCAGGATATACAAACATCCCCATCCACAGGATACACAACACTGTTCCCCAGCCCTAGGACACACAACTGATGTGGGATTCCCCTCTGTATGCTGTGATTATCATTGATTAATAAAGAAACTGCTTTGACCTATAGCAGGGTAGAACAGAAGTAGGCAGGAAAAACTAAACTGAATGCTGGGAGAAAGGAGGCAGAGAAGCCACATAGTCCTGTTGGAGACAGACGTTGGAACTTTACCCGATAAGCCACAGCCTCATGACGATACACAGATTAATGGAGATGGGTTAATTTAAGATATGAGTTAGCTAGAAATATGCTGAAGCTATTGGTCAAATAGTACGGCAAATCATATGTGTGATTATTTTGGGGTTGAGCAGCCAGGAAATGAACAAGTGGTCTCCTACAACAAACAACACTGTCCCCAACCTCAGGACACACAACACTGTCCCCAACCCCAGGACACACAACACTGTCCCCAACCTCAGGATACACAACACTGTCCCCAACCTCAGGACACACAACACTGTCCCCAACCTCAGGACATATGAACACTGTTCCCAACCCCAGGACACACAACACTGTCCCCAACCCCAGAACATATGAACACTGTCCCCAACCCCAGGACACACAACACTGTCCCCCAACCCCAGGACATACAATACTGTCCCCATCCTAAGGTCCTGGGGATTTAATCCAGGCCCCCACATATGCCAAGTGAGTGTTCTACCATACATTCTTTTTTTTTTTTTTTTTTGGTTTTTTGAGATAGGGTTTCTCTGTAGTCTACCAAACATTCTTGCCTCGGAAAACAGAAACTCTGAATCTAATTTTGTAACTGTAATGCTAGGCTAAAATGAGACTACGTCTTGGCTTCCTGTTCTGTAAAATTAAGAAAAACAACAACAAAAACATCAGCTTTTTTTTTTTTTGATACAGTCTTGTGAAGCCCAAGCTGACCTTGACTATGTAGCTGAGGTAAACTTTGTTTTTCTTCCTTTTTTTTAAAAAAAATATTTTTAGTACATTGGTGTTTTGCCTGCATGTATGTCTGTATTAGGGTGTCAGATTCCCTAGAATTGGTTACAGATAACTGTGAGCTGCCATGTGGGGAATTGAAGCTGGATCCTCTGGAAGAGCAGCCAGTGCTCTTAATTGCTGAGTCACCTCTCCAGCTCCTTTTTTTTTTTTTTTTTTTTTTTTTTTTTTTTTTTG